CCACAGCCTCAACCTGCTGGGCTCAGGTGATCCTTTCGCCTCAGCCTTCCCAGTAGCTGGAACCACAGGCATATACCATCATGCACAGCTAATTTTTTGATTTATTGTAGAGACGAGATCTCACCAATTTGCCCAGGCTTGTCTTGAACCTGGACTCAGGCAATCCTCTTGCCTCCACCTCCCAAAGTGCTGGGATTACAAGTGTGAGCCCCTGCGCCCAGCTCCTTTTTTCATATTACTTGTTATCTTACAACGTTATGGAACTCTGACTTAACTCCCAATCTTATATCTTTTTTTTTTTTTTGAGCTGGAGTCTCACTCTCTCGCCCAGACTGGAGTGCTGTGGCCGCTCCTGGCCACCGCAGCCTCAACCTGCAATCTATATCTTAAAAGCAATTTATCTGAGGGTATATTTTTTTCTATTGTTACTACTAGAATTTAAATCCCTATGTGCTTAGGAAACTTATAGATGTAATTAGTGATGTTTTACAGTAAAATGACAGCAGAGATTTATTCTCACCTTTCTACAAGTGGACATTTGATTCATCCTTATAATAGAGTAGCATCTCATTAATTTCAAGTACTAATTTGTAATTTTTATTCCTTTTGACCTCGTATAATATAATTGAGTTTTCTTGGAGGTCAGAGTACTATCAATTTCCCAGGATTTAAAGTGCTAATAGAAAGCAGAAGCCTGTAGAAATTTGAAGTTGTTGATGATTATTTACAGTTCAGCTATTCAGTTGTTTATTGGACTGTGGTTTAGTTTTGCTCGTTTTGTGAAAATAGATGGGCTTTGCCTAGGAATATCGATAAAATGGGAGCTGTTAGGATTTGCTCATTAGTTAATAAATAATAAAATATACACTATACTAATATAAATGTTTAAGTAAACAGTAGTATACATACATTTTTTATGAAGTTCTAGTGTTTCTTTTTTTTAATTGAAGTCTCACTCTTGCCCAGGCTAGACTGCAGTGGCTCCTTCATCGCCATTGCAGTCTTGATCTGCTGGGCTCAGGCAATCCTTCTGCCTCAGCCTTCCAAGTAGTTGGAACTACAGGTGTGTACCACCATGCCTGGCTAATTTTTTATGTATTTATTGTAGAGACAAGGTCTTACCAAGTTGCCTAGGCTGGTCTTGAACCTCTGTGCTCAGTCAGTCCTCTCACCACTGCCTCCCAAAAGGCTAGGATTACAGGCATGAGCCACCACACCCAGCTTAGTGTTTCTTTATTTTAATCAAGTTGTATTCACTCACAATTTAAAACGTCTTTGCCGGGCATGGTGGCTCATGCCAGTAATCCCAGCACTTTGAGAAGCGGAGGTGAGAGGATTACCTGAGCCCAGGAGTTTGAGACCAGTCTGGGCAACATGGTGAGACCTCGTCTCTGCAATAAACAAAAAAATAAACTGGGCGTTGTGGCATGTGCATGTGGTTCCAGCTAACTTGGAAGGCTGAGGTGGAAGGATCA